TTATATTTTCAACATTTATTCATCTTAATTCTAAAGTTGTGTTTTATGATATTTTTATTTATTATAAATTTATTTGATTTTACTTTTGTTTTTGTATGATTAAAATTTAAGAAAGAAAAATCAATATAACCGAACTCTCAAAAAACAATTTTTTTCTTTAGGAAAAAATTGATAAATCTAATCCAAACTAATCCAATCTAATAATAATTGAATTAGTTTGATTTTAGTATATTAATTGGATTAGATTGGTTTGACATTTTTTTCAATTCAGTTGAATTGAATTGAATAAAAAAATTGTCAAAGACCGATCTATCCAAACCACAAACACTCTTACCATATGCTAAGATTAATTTTTATCCAAGGATAACATAAAACAAAAAGTAACAAACATAATTTCAAGGTTTAATCTATTGATAAATGAAGATTATTTTATTAATTAAGTTTAGGATTTAAGTTTAAAGGATAGCACTTAAGAATATTAATTTATTTTAAGGTATTAAAATAATATGATGAATACACCTAGAGGTGTTTGCCATTCACATGAATCGGTTTTAGATTTTTTTTTTTTTTCTATCCAATCCAATTTAATTAGATTGAAGAGATGTCAAACCAATTCGATCCAGTTAATATACTACAACCATACTAATCCAACATTTTTGGATTTGATTGATCGGTTTTGTCATATAGAAAAAAAAAAACATTTTTAGGAGTTTAATTACATTATTCTTCTTTTTCTTTTAATTTCAATTTTACAAAAATAAAAGTAAAACTAAATAAACTTATAATAAATGAAAATATCATATGAGATAATTTTAGAGTTAGGATGAATAAATTGTCATCCAACTCAACTCCAAATTAATCTAACTCAATGTGGTTTATAAAAAACTTAGCACTTCAATAATCAATTTAAATTATAAAATAAAAAACTCAAAAATTTATATTATAAAAAAACATTAGGTGTGAACCAACTCTATGGTTAAGGAACGAGGCAGACTGAGCAAAAGAAAAGGACAAAAATATAAATGAGACAATACGATAGGTAAACAAGATTATAGAATCTCTAGGGTACACCAATTAAATGTACCAAACTACAAACATAATTGGGATATCCAGATCCATTGTCGAGTCTTTCAGAAAAACAAAAATAAAAGTAGTCTTGTCTATTTTTGCTGTTTAATACTATATAATTAATTTTCCTGGAACTTCTTTTATCTCAATTTCCTTGCAATTGTTTACGTTTTGGAGTAATGTTGAAAATGATTAGCCTTAATTACATGAAGTCTACTAACAAATATGGGAGATTTCTATACAAATAAAAACAAAACCTTTCAAAACTTATTTAATTAAAAATATAACATTTACAATTTTACTAATCAAGACTATTACTTTTAAAAATTTTTAATAAAAAAATATAACTTTTGAGATTTTACTAAAAATGCATCAAGTGAATGTATAACTTGATTAGAAACTTTTTAAATGTTAGCTTTTATTAAAAAATTACAAAAATTATATTCTTAATTAAGTTTTTTTAAAAAATAATTATATTCTTATTTGTATGAGATCTCCTAGATTGGGAGTTGATTCATAGATTTTAAATTTTGTTTTTGGTACATAAAATTCTTAATTAAATTTTTTTTAAAATAATTCCTGCAGGCTTGGACTAGGACCAAAAGCATGTAACTAACAAGTTATCTAGTCATATCCCCAGACCAATATCAGGTGGATCAATGAAGCCGACAAGGACCCTAGGACCAGCAGTTGCTAGTTCTTACTACAAGGGACTTTGGGTGTATTTCATTGGGCCAGTAATCGGAACTCTGTTGGGGGCAAGGTCCTATGGTTTCATCAGGGAGACTGATAAGCCTGTCCAGGGAATCTCCCCACGATCATTCTCCCTCAAGCTCCATCGCATGAGGAGGAGCACTGAGGAAAGTGTTTCCAACAAAGACCCTGACACTTCTCTCCGAACTCATTGGCAGTCATTGCTGAGTTTGCAGAGTTAGAAATGGCAGAGTGATGTGTGTGATTTTACTTACCCTGTAACAGTGTTGGTGCAAGAACTATTTGAGCGCAGTTCTGTAAATGACAAATATCTTCTACAAGAATGCTTACTGTTTATGCTATATTAAAACCATTATTGCCAGTAAACTTGCATTTCCTGTGACAATCAAACACTTCACATTTCGAAATGTGTTTTCAGCTGACACGCGAACTACAAATTGGAGTTGGACACATGTTTTTTACACAAACTCATCAACAATTCCACTTTAATGAACTCATCCCATTTTCAATAGCCAAGACTGAGAAAAGGATTTGGATCCACATACCTGTGTATAATTGATGCCTTCTTTGAAAGGTACGGACAGGTCTATAATTCAATACAAAAGTAAACCCGAAAAACCAAACCACAAATTCTTAATTAGCCTTTATTCCGTGTTAGGACCAAAATAAAAGTGAAAAGAAAATTAGCATCACAAAATCCTGATGATCAGGTTCAGGACCACACTAGTATTCTATGATGCTCCCCTTGATTAGAGACGTCCCGTAAAACTGGAAAAAGAAACAATCCAACAAATGAAGAGTAAAATATGAAGCAGAATCCTTTGACACACTTGATACAAGTCAAATGATGCAGCTGAATCACTAATGCATGCAAATATGCAATGGTTCTAGTTGCATATGCTGCAAAATCTGCCAGGTTCCTTCAATGTGATTTGTTTTCAATAATTTAGAAGATTAACCAAACCAGAAAGCCGAGTGATGCAGAAAGTTAACGTAACATAATGAACCGCGGAATTTGGTGTTTTGGTACAGACATCACACGCACCAACTACTCAGTCAGCGCTACTCCAAATCTCTAACAAGTTCAAGTTCGAACCGAAAAGTAGAAACCAAATAGTTCCTTATGCATTGATCAATCAACTAACTCCAAATCCCAGTTATCCGATTGACAGATGAAATTGCATTTTCCACCGCTTTCACGGAAATTAAACGAAACTAAAAGATTTGATTTGGGAA